GCTAGCCAAAGCTCCATCATGCGAAAAAGAAGCCATATCTGAACATGATCCAGAAACACCACCGTCTTCTCTGGGCCAAAGCTCATTTAAAATGGTCTGTTGCAAAGTAGAAAACTGTTCTGTGGTCAGACAAATCGAAATGCGTGCTGCATCCTCCAGACTAAAGAAGAGAGGGACTTTCCAGGTTATCAGAACTCAATTCAAAAGCCTGCATCTCTGACGGTATGGGGTGCATTAGTGTGCATGGAATGGGCAGCTTGCATCTGGAAAGGCACCACCAATTTTCAAAGATACATCCAGGTTTTAGAGCAGCATATGCTTCCATCCAGATGACATCTTTTTCAGGGAAAGCCTTGCATATTTCAGCAGGACAATGCTACACCACATACTGCATGACAACAGCATACCTTCGTAGTAGAAGAATCCGGGTACTTAACTAGCCTGCCTACAGTCCAGAGCTTTCACCAAATGAAAATATTTGGGGCACCTTGGGATAAAAAAAACACCACAAGAGGAATCAGTACTGTTGAGCATTTAGAATCCTATTTCAGGCAAGAATGGGACAACATTCCTCTCCAAAAACTCCAGCAACTGGTCTCCTCAGTTCCCGACATTTACAGAGGGGATGTTACCCCGGTTCCAACTTTTTTGAGATGTGTTGCTGCCATCAATTTCAAATTTACCTTTTTTTTTTTCTCAAAGTGGAACATTTTCTCATTTTAAAAACATTTGATATGTTTTCCATTTTCTATTGTGAATAAAATATGGGTTTATGAGATTTGCAAATCATTGTATTCTGTTTTCATGTAGATTTTACACAGCGTCCCAACTTTTTTGGAATTGGGGAGATTATATATCTCCTAGATGGTATTTTATTTCACAACAAAATTTGAAATGACCTTTCAAGGAATCTGCATTTGCAGCATACTTTTACATTTTGTTGATCAGACAGATCAAATTTAAAACAAAGTATGCCTGTAACCTGCAACAACCAGCCTATAGTTTTTAGTTATAAAACAATAAAATTACAGCAGCACAAACCATTTCAGTCACTGAAATGTTATCCACCACATTTTAGATACCTATGGACATATTCATTAGTCAGTGATGATGTGCAAAGCATAATAACCCATAGCAATCAGATAACTGTAGTACGATGAGTGAAAAATGGTTTCTGAATGGCCTCTATATGTGGAAATTATACATCATTGTTCTCTGTCCTATCTAATAGCATAATTATAGTGTATGTTTAATCAACTGTTTCAATTCACTAAAACCTAAAATTCAAGCAGACATAAGATTAAAAGATGACTCAACCTTTACTACTCTTCTAAACTATATTTTTCTTTTTACGCACAGTCATGGGTAAATATGATGGGAAAGTCGTACCTAACAGCAATTTTTATAACACTTGTTTAATGAAAAGTACCGACCAGCTAAGTATAATACGTGCCTGCTACAAAACTGCCAGATGTGAAATGAACCAGGCAGTGAAAAAAACGATCACATTTACCTCTTCCACTATATCATTATTTACAGATGACACTTCAAAAGAACACCAAGACGTACTTTAGCTTTGTGCAGGAAATGCATGACCATGTGGTGACTAGTCACAATGGCAGAGGAACTGAATCCCACAGCAGGTCACATTCCAGAGCCTTCAGAATATCATACCATAGGTGTGTACATTCAAAGGGATAATTCCTCAATGACATGCTTGCCATAAAACAAAATACCTTATGCTACACTATATTACCAAAAAAAAAAGATAAATCAGCAAAACCCAGTAGAGATGTCACATAACATTCACTCTAAAACAGAGTTATGGGTTACCTTTCCCACAAAATGAAAAATTCCTGCTGTGGAATTGCTGTTGTGGGTTACATTCTATGTGTAAATGACAATATCAGAAACGGCAGACACACTTCTTGCAATGTAATATCAAAAGTGTAATATCAAAATGTAGACATGGGAGCAATTCTGGAGATGTAGAGAAATGAAAGGTTCGGTGCTCTTGGTAGAGGATTCTCATGTCCCTCGAGTGCAGGCGTGCCTTCTGTTTCTGAACGGTTACCACTTTCATTTACATTAAAGGCCACCTCTTATAAGGAAGCCATGAAAAAGACTTCATCTTCACCAACCATGACTAAAGAATAATTCATCTGAAACATGATGTGATGAACTCTGACAGCAGCATTATGAACAGTTTTATGTGCCACTACCAGCTCTAATCCCTTGATAAGAAACTGCTAAATGCCTCCAATATTCTAAGCTTCATTTCCTATCAGATAACCTAATTGCTGGATTACACAGAAGCAAGGAATCAACCCTATCCAAGAAGAACAACTTTTACATACTGGCAGAGACTTGAAGTCATCAAGACTATAACAGCCTGTGTCTAATTCATTCAAGACAGGCTGAGACATAGAGGCCAAATCGGCAAATATGACCAAGTAACTGAATAGAAAACAGATTCTTTGAGAACAGCTGTTGTCTTGTCACAGACATCCTTATCAGACATAACACAGACATTATCTATGTTTCCAGAGACTGTCGCCTCAAAAAGGATCCAAGACTGAAGCGTCACAGATCTGTCACACATTTATCTGCCAAGTAGCAAGCGGATATTATTAGATTATTACACCTAAAAAGTCTTAAACTACTACACACACACACAAACAGAAAAAAAAATTGTACCAAAAAAAAAAAAAAAAAAAAGATCGTACCACGATTGTACGATAATATGATCGTTAGTACACAGCTTTCCTCCAAAATCATTCGAAGGAACAAGCACAAACATTTTTCTTGTACGAAACCAGATTGTACGATTTTCTTTTAAATAAGAAGTTAACCTTTTGTGACAGTTACACCCACATTCAGGGTGTACCATGTAACAAAATGGATCGGTCTGCGCACCTCCGATCCACATTGTGACAGCTAATGGGGGATCTTCTCCCTCCCGCTAGCTGTTACAATCTCACCTACCAGGCCGCATCACTCGTTCACAGTAGCCTGCGAAACTGAACACTACAAGTTCCAACAGCCTTTGCGGCTGTCGGCTTGTAGTGCTCAATGAACTACCACGGTGCTGTTAAGCGCCGTGGTAGTTCATTGAGTCTTCCTGTCAGTAAGTAAATATCTGCTTTCCCGTACGAGGTGTATGGGCACACAAGATACACCGACAGGTCTGCAGGAGAACTACATGGCACCAGCGATCTGCTGATCGCTGGTGCAATGCTTTACAGGCTCCAGAAACAAAAAATAATAAAATTCACATTTTTTTACCTGCAAATTAAAATGCATTTATTCCTTTTTGTTAAAAGGTGAATTTATCCTTTAAATTAGTCCAATTTTCATTGGAAAATATAGTACAAATACAATACATCACTTCTGAATTTTTTTATCTGTCTTACAAGAATTTTCAAAACTTTATTAACCTCTTCACTTTCGATATGAGACTAGCATGCAAAAAAACCCCCAAAAAACAGATATTCTCATTGTGTGTATGGGGCTTTAGCAGGCCAAGATAACCATGATGGAAGATCAACGCAGTGATATACAGTCATGTACAGTAAAAGATCCAAGTCCACAAATTAACGGAGATTTTGAACAAGATAGACTTACATGCAGGCATAATTTACACTGGCCTTTCTTAACCAGGGTTCCTCCAGAGGTTGCTAGGGGTTTCTTGAACTATAAGCAATTTCTGCCACTCAGATAAGTAACCACTGACTCCAACAATCTGTATGAGGGACATTCTTCCCACTGACCACAAATGTAAGGAGTATTCTTCCCACTGACCATTACTGCCAATGTACTGGGAGCTGTAGATATATTTATATTTGGCATGGGTTCCCTGAGACCAGAAAGTTATTTTTTTTTTTTTTTAAGGGATCCTCTGTGTTAAGAAGTTTGAGAGAGGCTGATCTAGACTTTTTAAATAGTCACAGTCAGATTAACAGCAAAGCAAATTTAAGGATGCATCATATTATAACCAACTGCCATCTACTTTAGAACACTCTAAATCCCAAAGATGCCACAGATTCCACAGCTATACTTGCCAATATTTAATACTGCACAATATGCAAACATGCATTGTATTCTGAATTTTTACTACTGAAGGCTTAGGCAGACAAAGAAAAACATGTTCATTATATAAAATCATATATGGAGGGTGGACAGTTCATTTATTTTAATCCCATATTACAGAGTTTGAGGAATAGGATTCCTTTATGGCAGCTGGCTCAGCTGAACAGATACACTATGTGAGGGCCCTTTATACGCAGCATGCTGCTAAGATGTAGCATGGTACAGATATATGTAACAGAGGGTTTACATCTCTATTCAATGTGGACAAATAAAAGGGCAAGAGAATACCTTAATCTGAGATGTGAAACTGAACTGCTCACTCTGAGCTTCATAGTCCTTCTGGCTTATTTGTTGCTGTCTGAAAATGGCAAAGATCACAATCTAGTTTCTAACAAAGACAAGGATGATATTATTCATGTCACACTTGTCCTGACTATTCACTGTCACCTCTTCAATGGTCCTCAGTAGGTATGCATGCTTGATCAGGTGTTTGAGCATGTGCAGGATGGAATTCCACCAAAACATGGCAGATCAATCTGTGGACGGGAAAGACATGCTGTCTTTGCAAGGCTATGGTTTTTTTTGTTTTGTTTTTTTAAGTATAATCTGCTAAAATGGCCAAACACAACCATGACTGAAGCTTATCCTACAAGAGAGAGACCAGAACAGCATCATTGCCTTGATAGCCAAGAGTGATAAAATTGACGCCCTTAAAGTTTCTAAACTCAGGACCCTGCATTCACTATATCTGGTCTCCCACAGTACAAAACATGGAAATGCAATTATTGTAATAGATGTAAACTTGCCAAATACCTTTTCTCATCAGCAATATATAGCAGTCTTGTGACTTATCAGTGCTGGTTAATCTTGTAGGATTTTTCATTCTCTGACTGTCCTATACTGCTGCATAACCCCTGACCCTCTGTCTGGACAGTGCTGATAGGTCCTGTGCTTATCACATTCAAAAAAAAAAAAAAAAAAAAAAAAAAAAACAAAAAAAAAAAAAAAACACCTCATTAGCATTACACATCAAACTGAGCATGTGCAGAGTCCCTATTAGGGCTCTGTATTACCAGCAGATGGATTGGAGACATTAAAAAGAAGGAGGGGATCAGAGAAGACAGGTTCAAACAGCCTTTTTATACAATGCAGAGCATTAGCCCCTTAGGTTCCACAGTGAGTATAACCAGCATGCTTTACTGCATATACAGACTGATTTTACTAGGGATGCACCGAAATTTTGGTGGCCAAAACATTTCGGCCGAAAATAGCCCTATTGGCATTTGGCCAATCAGGTCCTGAAAATAGCTGCTACCAGCTGCCCATGCTGACTGCTGCATGGTTCCGCTCTCCTCTGTTCTTACTGGGGAGATGTGGGCCACGCAATGAGGATGCCTTGGCGCATGCCCAGTGGTAGTGGACTGAGGTGCATTAGAGAAGTCTCTTTCGCAGGCTATGGGAAAAATGGCTTCTAGGGACCTCCCCCAGCCAGCCCCCATCTCCTTATAGCTCTGACAGCAAAAAGAAAATGGCCACTGCGTCAGACAATAACTCCGTAAAAGTAGCCACCAGCCAAAAACCTCCATTAAAATGGCCGAGGCAGTTACAATATCATAGCAGCTGGTCATCAGAGCTGTATGGCAGTATAGCCCATGCCCCACAAGTCCAGGTAGGCTGGCAATCAATAGCACACACAGCAGGACAAATCTCCCCAGCCCCAGGTGAGTCCCAGACTGCACCACAGGAGGAGAGGACAGGCAGGCTGGGAGGGAGCCCTCACTACTAGGGTCTTGTAAATAATAAGGTACCCGGCCTAAGCCCACGCCTCCACTGTGGCTGGCAACTCCCAACTCCCAGGAAAATCTCCCAGGACACTGCTACATTGGGGGGGGGGGGGGGGGATGTGTAGCAAGACCACCCCAGGGAGAACCCACACCCCACACTGCATCCTGGGGAGAAGGGGCCACTACTTACCGATCCAGTGGTGTAGCTCCCGTGACAGATCTTCCCCTCCACCGAAATGGGGGGCTGTCAACTAGGGGTACACTGTGACACAGACAACAGCTATACAAATGTACATATTTTTAATAACCATCCATTTTGGTTTTCGGCCAAGTGCATCCTGAATTATCAGTTTCGGTACTAGAATTTTCATTTTGGTGCACCAGTAAATTTTACAGTTGTGGGTTCAGTAACAATTTAAAGCACTATTTTAGAATTCTCAGTAATTCTCAGAACATTATTCCCTCCCCCCCAAAAGAAAAAAGTGTTTTATTGTAAATGTATTGCACATTATTCATTAGTAAAGTCTGCATTTTGCTTGAGTGTTCATGGGGGTGGGGCTTCAATAATTATAGTAGCAGACAGCAAATTATCACCAATAACCTGCTTCTAATTTTCAGAATGGTGGGCAGCAGTATGGAGTGTGACTTTGATTAAAGGTGATACAAGCAGACGGTGTGGAAAAAAAAACACTAATGGTGAGAATGTATAGAGACTGCCATTGCCATCTGTCTTCTGAAGAATACCTGAGCTCTATGCTAGTACGATTTGTGCAACTGTAGCCAGTTTGACTTTGATGAAACTTCACTCTCTAGGCATTAAAGTCGCATCAAAGTAAAAGTCTGCAGTTGGAACATTTTCAAAGTTGCTGCCATTTTAGGTCACAAGCCCAGAATGGGTGCCATTGGAAACAATTGATCTTCAACTTGTCATGCGAATTTATGTGTCCAAAGTGCCATTGCATAGCAAGTCGCACAAGTACACTCTCTGCATTCAAGTCGGAGCTTGACAGCTGCCATTTTAGGTCACATAGCCCAGAATGGGTGCATTGGAAAAATCATGATCACAAATCAAGTGTTTGAGGCAGTCAATGTAAAATCCATGTACTACTCCCTTGGTAAGTGGTTCATCTTCCCTAAAGTTTACCAACTTTAACCCCATCCCCCTATTATTTTACCTTGTTCCAGTACTGAAAAGAAGTTAATATTATGGCCTATTACATTACCACCAAGCTTATAAAATTCTTGCAGGGGCAATTGCTGTCAGCTCAGTTCCTATTGACGCAAGTACGGTCTCCAAAACTACTCCCAGGAGTATTTTTTGCAAAGTGTATGGGCAGTCTTTTGGGAATGAAGGCAGCAGCGGTGTTGAGAAATAAAAATGAAATCATGCATTGAGAGGTGGAGGATAGGTGAGGTTCTGTACTATAGCAGGCAGGTCTGAGAATACTGGTTGGGATTTCAGTGCAAAAGGAGGCACTGTGCTGTCAATTCAAACACAAATGCTAGAAGCAGAACACGATTCTGTCAGATTAACAAGTATTTTTTTTTTATTGCAGAGTTTGTAAAGGGATGAAACATCAGGAAATGTGCAAGTATTAGAGAGATATACTGAATATTTTTTTTATTTTGCCCTGGCATACCCGAAAACATTCCCTGTACACTTCAACCATTTACAAAATCAAGCTGAATATATACATGCAGTTTTTTTTTTCCACCAAGTGGGTTGATGCGGGGAAAAAAAAATAGAAGATTGACAGATCCCTACAATAACACAAACAATACGTGATGCAGGGATCTCCCCTGCTCACTATTTTATTCTTACTGCCCCCCATCAGAATACACAGAATCAGCACTTGCAGCCACTGGCAGCAAGCACTGATTGAATGCTGGTTTACCACCATGACCATTCGACAGTTTGTTGAACAGACAGCAGTACACGTGGCCAAAAAGTCAGCCAGCTTCTACTGAACTGTTCAAGTCAAAGAGCGATGCATTACATTCTATTCATAATCCAAAATAAACTAAAGGACTGGACTTTTGTATCTTCAGAACATGCGTGTGTTTACATGTTTATCACTTGAAGATAAAGAGAATTTGTGCTTGTCAGTTCAATTGCTTGGAAGCAGTTTGTCTCAGTGCACTGTGCAAGTTATATGCACATCAGCAGACTGAACATCGGAGTCTGGACTGGAGACAATTTCCTGTCTACATATAAAGTTCATCCCTCAATCTAACTGCCGCGGGGCTGACAAGCCACTGAAAATCTCATTACAGCAGCAGTGAGGCAACCAGGGCTATTACATAAAAAAACAGTGGCAAGTGAGATGAAAAACAAAAAAAAGGTGAATAATGCAGAAAGAAGAGAAAACCAAATCCAACATTTGCACTTCTACATAAATCCTAGTTCACACACATCAAGTACATGGCACCAAGATATGAATGTGAGGATCACACATGGCTTCTGCTAATTAGCCAGATTCACACACTTTACTATAGCTTAATTAGAAAGAAACACAAAAGGGGCTTATGTCTAAAGTGTGCTGGGAAGAGATTCTCTTGTTGGTTTGCCAGAATTCTTTTCTATTTTCAACTTTGCAGAAATTGCATGAAAGCCGATAGGCTGGCATGGGAAGCCCAAAAAAAAAAAAAAAAAAAAAAAAAAAAAAAAAACACATTTATTTTATTTCAGGTACTTGTATAGCGCCGTCAATTTACGAAGCGCTTTACACACACACACACATATAGTACATTCACATCAGTCCCTAACCCTCAAGGGGTGTACAATCTAAGGTCCCTAACTCACATTCATACATACACATATTAGGGCCAATTTAGACAGGATCCAATTAACCTACCAGCATGTCTTTGGAGAGGGGGAGGAAACCAGAGTACCCGGAGGAAACCCACGCAGGCACAGGCAGAACATGCAAACTCCAGGCAGGTGGTGCCGTGGTTGGGATTTGAACCAACGACCCTAGTACTGCCAGGTGGAAGTGCTAACCATTTAGCCACTGTGCTGCCCAACACATCTATTACTTGATTTTCTTTACAATAAGAAATACATTGCTGGAGTAAAGAAACAGTAGCTGAAATTTTAAAATAATTCTCCCCTATAGGACCCCTCATTACATATTCCCAAATATAGCAAATGCCCTCAGATGCAGAAAGGCTTGAGAAAATTTGGTATTAAAAGGGTTTTTTCCCATATCTGTAGGGAGGGCAGAAAAATTCTAACAGACTGACATAAGAAGCAGATAGAGAGAGCCTTGTGTATATGGCCTTTGTTCTTACAGAAATCCTTTGAAGCAGTAAGAGGTTGGACAAGGATGACAACATATGCTATCCCTGCATATTTGCTAGGTGATCTGCTAGGTTCAGTCAGTGAATTAGTGTTTCTGAAAGAAGGCAGTAAGACTGCATTATTGCCTAAACATTTGAAACCAGTGGTCACCAAACTGCAGCCCAGGGGCCAGATGTGGCCCTTTGCTTGCTTTTATCTGGCCTTTGGGATACTATTCCTCCCACCACTTCCTTGTGACACCAACAATAGGACATAAATCCTGCCAGTGACACCAATGATGGGGCAGCGTTCCTTTACCTGTCACCAACAATAGGGCACGATTCCTTCCCATGGTACCAACAACAGGGCACTGTTACCCCCAAAGTCTGAAGAACAGTAAGCTGGCCCTCTGCTGCCATCACAAAAAGTTTAAAACAAGGGTCTCCAAACTTTCTACACATTCACGAGGAACATGGTACTACTACGGCGGCATGTACTGTACACGTAGCAATTGCTATGTATTAAACTTCAAAACACATATGTATAGCATGTGTATTTAGGAGAAGCATGTAACTTAAAACCATTGTAGAAAAGAGAAATAGCAGCACTCCAAAAAAAAAAAAAAAACTCCATTTCATTTTTTACATTGGATTTTCATACGGCTGCGGACTGAGCTGGCACACATGTATATTGTGTGGTTCTGGAAATCTACAGGCTTGCCTTGGAGCCAGGGGCGAACTGACAACTCATGGGGCCCCTATGTCCTTGCCCAAACTCAAAAAAGCCTATGAAAAAAGGTACCAAGGGCATCTCATGGGGCCCCCTACTGACCCCGGGCATTGCCCGAGTTTCCAAATGGTCAGTCCGCCCCTGCTTGGAGCAGTGTGTACCCTAC